AAATGGAATTTTTGATGAAACGGCCAATTTAAATGAATACATTACCGCGTTAATTCCAAATATTCATGTTAATGGCGTGTAGTGGAGTGGTCCACTCGTTCCACGCAAATTTAATCTACATTGTTGAAAGTTTTTTTAGGTTCACTTATATCAATTTTTAACTGCAAAAATAACATTTAAACTTCTTAAAACTGATAATCGTTTTTCTGAAAGTCTATCTGCCTCGTCAAATCCAAAGTCAATAACGTGTTGTTAAAACTGGCGAGGTCGGAAAGTCATCACCGTGAACTGTATGTACAAAAAGAAAAACGTTCTAACCGATCCGACATCTCCTTAGCAGAACGTTAAATCGATCTAGAAACCGCTAAACTGCAAAAGAACACGTCCGTATTTGTTGGACAAGTTTATGTTTTTCCAAGAGACAGTTAATTTTTAGTGAGATACGTGGATGTAAAACGTATTTAGGATAATGATCTTTGCTCGAATTGAACATAAAACCTATTTACCTTAATCTATTATGTTATTGTTCAAATTTTACTGCCCAAAATGCATTTTAAAATGGAAATAAATAAAAACTTTATAATGGATTTTTCATGTTTTGGTTTATATGCCCATAATAGCTACAAAAACTGTAAAACATACAGTCTTTTAACTTTAAACTTTGAAATATCTTAGTAAATAGGCATTTTACGAAAAAATGTTTAAAATCCTTCGATATTTTTACTAATATACAGCTCTTTTTTTTATCTGGACTCGTGTTTTTTTGTTAGGTTGGTGGCTTATGCCAGTTTGACTTAATATTTTTAGTATTTAAAAATGGTACTTCTGCTAAAGAATTTTATTAATTACTTTGACACTGTCAAATTGAAAATAATACTTATTTATTATTGAATATTTCCCTCATTATAATATGAACCAATCAAAAGCCTTGAATGTTCGAATAAATTTCGTTTAAATAAGCGCGAACTATTTAACAGCGATTAAATTTTAGCCTCCATATTGGATTTTTGTTTACGATTTTATGGTGTTATTTACAAGTTTTAACAAACATTTTTTAAAAAACAATAAAAAATAAGTTATCTAGTTTACGAAATATGAATTATTACTTATTACATACCTTAAATTAATGGAATTTTCTTTAAAAAAATATTTATAAATTTTGACACATACGTCAGATTTTATGAATTGTCAAATAGTTTCCTTTAATTCGAGAAATAATCTAGAAGTATATCACTCAACCTATAAATTTAATCTGTCAAACTATGCTCAGTAAGTTTTTTATTTGATTTTTCTTTTTGGAAAATAGTTTCATGCAAAATAATTAAAAATTAAATTAAATTATTTTGCATTCAACATTTTCCAACAAAAACCAAACAAAAAACTACTGAGCCTAGTTTAACCGATTAAATTCATAGTTCACGTGGTATAATATATGATAATTTACTTGTCAATTATAAATAAAAAGATAATTATGCCAAATGCCACAATGGAAGAAAAAGTACATCGCCTTATGGACATTTTTGTAGTAAAAAAGAAACGAATTTGGTTTTATAAATATTACATCACACATTATTTTCACATTATTCACCATTGGACAACATTTACGTTAACAACAAATTTTAATTTCTTTTATATAAATTCTTTTTAAAGCGAAGATTATTATTCGCTAGGAATACTTTCTCTTCTGTGCCGTAAAGCAACCTATATTTAACTACTTTTTTATATGATTTTACTCATCCAAGCACCACCAAAGCCAAATTAATTGCATTTTTAACTACGAATTTCAACAACTCAACTTTACAACTGCACAATGTAACCTACAATAATTTATACATAACCACAATTAGATTTATGTAGCTTAGTTTGTTTTAATCAATGCAACCAACTTGACAACTGTATTTACCAACCAAAACCCTAAATTTGCAACGTTGCCGCAGTCCAGATAAAAAAAATTAACTTTATGTTTCCTAAAGTTAGTTAAGGATAAGAGTATGGGTAATAGTTTTGATACTGATTTATTTCTCCCCTAAAACCATTTAATTTGTATTTAAAAATTTTTTGTAACATGCCTATTTACTGAGATATTTTAAAGTTTCAAGATAAATTTATAAAAAAAAAAGTTGCGAAATTGAAACAAGAAGTTGAAAAAGAAATTTATTTCTGTTTGAGAGATAACACTTATGGCCTTAAAATTGTATCATTTCTTACCGAAAACTTGAATCAGTAAAACATAGAGCCAATCGGTCTTTTTGTTACACAAGAAAATATTTGAATGTGTGGAAAATGGAAAAGTGCATAGTATTCTCCGGTGTCTTTCATTTTATTTTCATACGAAGGTATAAAATATTTTGTGTATGTATTGTAAGTAAAAGTAAGAATGAGTGCCTAAAACGAAACAAAAGTAAAGGCAAAAGAGATGCAAAAAATTAAGTCAACCTACACAATAAAAAAACAGGCCTCAATTAGCCAATTAAAAGAACTTAACGAAACAAACATTTTTTTACTCTACTTTACACATCCGAAAATATTTGTTTAAACCCAGGTGGCCTTTGAACGTAGATTCCCAGGGCAAAAATTAATTAAGTCCGAAGTATAAATAAAATAAAAATAAAAGAAAAAGAAATATTTATTTTATGCCCCTAAAAAGTTTGCACTAGACTTCGCTTTTTAATAATTTAAACCGTGGACGGACATCAATAAATTTGACAAAAGTTGGGAAAAGTTTTTGTTGATATTTTTATTGCAGCTTCTGGCAAGTTTTCATGTCTACCTGAAAAGTGTACTCCACCTTTGTTGTTGTTATGAATGCTACTATAAAACAGCAGAGGGCGTCTTGTTCGGATGTGCTCTGCACCTGGCACTGATGCGGCCCAAAATACTGTAATGGAATTGGCATGCTTGTAATAAAGGTTGAAAAACTGTATTTTACGTTAGCTCAACAAGAGTAAACGCAGGGGCACCCGTCTGGTTAGTCGTTATTTATTTTAAACCTATTGCCTGTCTCAGGGGACTCCCCCAATGCCGAAATCTTTACGCTCGGTGATTTTGCTCCGGCTCGGTAATATTTTGAGTCGCAAAGCACGGGAACAGACCGTGGAGGAGGGTGACTACAACGCTATTAACATCCCGCTGATTCTTCCAACAAGTTTGGAATAATGTTAACTCGAGGCAAAACCGTTTTTTGCTCATGCAATTATTCATCGAGACTGATCGATCAATCTCTGAACACTTTAAAGAAATTAAAAATGTATTTATTTGATTCATTTTGATGGCAATTTGCCCTTGAAATGTCTTACCACTTTTTTAGAAAACCCATTTGTAGTTTGATCTTAGTTGAAAATATTTTGATTCAATTCGTTTCAGAAGTCAGACGTCTGAATAATTTACTTTTCCAGAAAAAAACGACTTGAATACTGAAAAGAAGTCACTCCATCATCAACATTGATTTTATTAGGATCGTTCTTGGATTTTCCCCCATGTATTTTGCTTTGATCTTGTTTTTTAAAGTCAAAGGTAAACGTTTACTTACCTGACCGAGAGGAAATTTTAGAAGTATTAGAATAGTTTTTTTTAATTAATAAAATTAATAAAGGCTCAAAATTCTTATGTATAAGACTTCTTTATCCTTAAAATAATCAACTTTGTTTTACCTCATTAATTTAATTTCACTTCTCTACTATTGCAAAGATGTTAAACTCCCAAATTGTCGTTTTAATTATTTTGGCATAAAGAAAAAAAACACAGAATTCATTAAGAGGAAGTATAATTAATCACCTGCTCGCGAAGAGTGTTTTCATTAAAATTTTAAAATAGTGTTCCGAAATTTTCCAAAGCCTTTGCCTCGCTTATTTCAATGGCCCGGGTGGTGCACAGCTTAATAAATAAAATTAAAATTGTTTTTGATAGTCCAATTATTCACCGAGAACTTAAAGTTTGAGTTTGAGGAAAGTTTGTTTATAAAATTTGTTTGAAAACGCTTCAGTTTTGCACTTGTTTTTTTGGTCTTGTCTACTTACTTATATTTAATTTGAGAAGTTTACAAATTTATAGTTTAATAACTCTTGCAAAATTTAATAATGTGTCCTGAAACTTGAATTTTGAATCGTTGCATATCTTACTTTTTACAAATTAAAAAAAGGAATCTAGAGTATTTAAATTGTAACTTCTTGGTGGCCAATTTAGGTATACAGTCATATCCTCTCCAAAAATGACTAGTTACTACAGTTATTAGTGTCTGCTTTTTCACTTATACCATGGTTAGCCAATGGCTAATAGCCATGCATGGGTTAGCATGGCATTCCCAACATTAAATAACCATTTCTTATGTAAAATTGTCCCCTGAATACGAAAATACCGTCAACATTTATTTAAATAGAGCAGTTTTTGAGATATAGTCAATTCCATATTATATGGAAAATTTATATCTCAAAAACTTTTGACGACATTTTCGGATTCAGGGGACAATTCTACATGGAAATTGACTGCTAAATGTTGGGGATCCAAATTGCTATTGACAAGAGTCATGTGTGGGAAAACTGTCAAAACTTTATGAACGATATTTAGCTTTCAACAAGCGAAAATGATATTGTGCGAGAATATGTTTAGTGGTTTCACACCCTAATATCCATGCTATTGAATTTTGGAGACCTAAAGATGTCATCTTGTTTGATGGACTTATTAAAGTGGGTTATTATCTTTGGTAATATGCAAATTTCCGATTCAAAAGTTCGGAAGGTTGCGAACAGTTGAGACAGGATGAGATAAATTTAGAGCGATAAACCATTGGGCAAAATGTTATTTATCTCAATTTTGCTGTAGAAAAGAGTGGTTGGTTTTATTAAGACGTTTGCAAATAAGGTTTTGTTTTCTTCGTTTGTCCTGATTTATTGCGACCATCGTCTAAAATAAAATTGCACTTTTAAAAGGAAAATAAAGGATAAAGGAAATGTTTTGAGACGAAATTCCTGTAATGCTGCATTTTGTTCAATAAATATTCGGGTATGTTTGTAGTGGCAGCTAATACCACCAAACAAAAATTGCTTGGTAAAACACATTTTTAAACTAAATATTATTTTTATCTACAATAAGCCACTTTACTTTTTTAATTTTATTTCAACCCTCGTATAATATTAAAAACCCAACACACGAAAAAACCCGCTCAAGCGTTCACGTTATCGAAAACTCATGTCTCGAGTGCGCTAGGCTTTTTGTCAAGCGCAATTTAAGTCCAACACATAAAATTCATGTGCATTTTTGTTGCAGAAGAATGTCGATACGGCAAGGGGGCCTGGTCTGAATGCGACCCGAAGACGAACCAGCGCTCGAGGACGCTCACATTGAAAAAAGGCAACCAGACCACCTGTGAATCCACCAAAACTATTCAGAAGAAGTGCAAAAAAGGTAAGTTAGATTAAAATAATTGAGCCTTTTTGTTTTGAGTGCGTTCCTCCAACTTCAAATACCGACACACAGCTGTTTCGACCTATAAAGGGTCCCATCAGTGTCGGGAAACTTGGTGTAGTGGAACGCACCCAAAACCAAAGACCACCTGAGCTTATATACTGCCCGTGTTAGCCAACCGAGGCGAGATGTAAGAACATCACTTGATTCGGTAAACTCTATGCAACCAAGAATGCATGGCAAATTGTATCGGTTTCAGAATTTCTCCATACACCGAAAAAAATAATGTAGTTGAGTTAACATTTGCCTAAATGTCATTTTTAAAAATGTTGTTTCAACAAAAAACCTATTGGATTAATCTATATTTTGATGTTAAAGCAAAAGTCAGAGTTTGTCAAAGTTTATTTGTTCATTTGACAGTTTAAATATTAATTTAACATAAACTAATATTTTGAATTAAAATGTTTATCGTACTTTGATTTAATAGCTGGAATTTGTTGAATCAACTACTGAAATTTTTAGGATTACCTAAAAAAACTATTAAATTAACGTTTAGTTGCTCTTTCATCCAAAACTTTAAATTTGTTCATTTAACAAATTTAAAATGTTACTTTAAAATTTAAAATGTAAAATTTGCATTCATAAAATTGCCGAGAATGGCGCTTCGAACACTCACGCCACGTCATTAGACAATGACGTTTTCTTACATCTCGCCTTAGTTAGCTTACGATTAGGTGTATATAAGATGAGATATCTGTTTGTTTAAGGTGTGTTCCACAGTAGAACTTTCACTACACCATATTGCCCGACACTGTTAAGACCTCAATACAGGGCGAAACAGTCTGTCGGTAGTAGGTGGAACACATGATACAAAGATGTATCATGGGTGGAACACGCTCAAAACAAAAACTCTGGGCGAGGTGAAGGTTCAATTCTTTCTATTTATATATAATAATATATTATTTCCATAATTTTGATTTGGATACCAACCTTTAAAGAATTTTACATTTTCAGAATGTTAATTTAACATTTTATTGGTGTTAAGTGAATATGCTAAAAAGGTTACCTGGACATTTCAAGAAATTTACCTTAACACCCTAAGAATGTTAAATTAACCAAATTAGCAGATTAGAACAAATATTCTTATTTTGTTCATTTGACTGTTATTTGTTGTTCAATTAAACAATACAATTTGACATTTTTAGATGGTTAAGTAAACGTGCAAAAACCATTGCTTGTATTTAAAGTGCATAAAGAGTTGAATTTTTTGTTGTTTCAACAGCTTATTTTTTTCAGTGTATGAAGAATAGTACAAACCTTGTTGTGTATGTTGTAAGTAAAACTTTAAGATCGCCAGCATCTCTCAGTATATTTAATAAATAAAAAGATTTGTAAAGATAAAACGTCGTAAAAAATGTCAGTCTAGGGTTTAACTTCGCCTACAGATCGATTTTTCTTGAACTGTTTGTTATTCTTCCAAAGCCAGATCCTGCAGTCCTTCTTCCACTTATGTGCGATGTCGTTTAGGGTGTATTTCTTTCCCTGGAAGTTTAGAACGCTGTAACTTATGGATACCGGTCTGTTCATCAGCATGTCTTCGGTCTCGATGCACTTGGTGTCGTCGGAAATGGCGTCCTTCTTGTAGGGGCTCTCGTAATTCAAGTTCGGTTCTTCTTCGTTCGAAGAAACGCTTTTCACGTCTTCCACATTTCCCGCGTCGGAGCGCGCTTCTCTCAGGTTCAAGTTTTTCGAGAAGAGATCGCCGATACCAGTTGTTGATGAGGATCTTCTCAGGAACAATTTCGCCGTTTTGGAGTGCAACTTTCGAATGGCTATTTCGTCCTCGGAACTCATTTTTTGTGTGATTTTTAAAAACTATATTTAATGTAAACCTCAAAACATTGAAGCTTGTATTCCACCTGTGTCATTATGACACATTTTTGATTGAAAGTATACTATAGGGTAAAGTATACTTTATAGTTTTTGGACAATTAACATTAATACTGTAAAAACAAGAGTTCTATAAATAGTTACCTTAAAGTCAAATCATTAGATGACGCTGTATACAATTATAACTATCTCAGTCGGTAATAATATAAAACAACTTTATTTTGGGTCCAATATAGGACCAACAAGTTCGCACGTTACTGAAAAGTGTACAGATCAGTGTGTGGTATAAATGTGTTCCTCATGGTTTAAACATTTTAATTTTAATTCTGAAAACAAACTGTAAAATGGCCAGTGTCCAATTACTGGTTGGTAAAAAATGTAAATTTCTATTATTATGTCCAATATCATACTCTATTTGTATCCCGGACATTTACCAGCCAATTCTTATGTAAGATTGTCCCCTGAATCCGAAAAGACCGTCAAAAACTAAAAAAATTAAGCAGTTTTTGAGATATAGTCAATTCCATATTATATGTAAAATTGATTATATTTCAAAAACTGTTCTACTTTTATAACTTTTGACAATATTTTCGGATTAGTTTTTTCATCACAGGACATCTTGCAGAATAACAGTGATATAAATACATTGCATGATAGAGAACATACAAAACCAATGGCAACAAAATTGATAAATTCGGAAAATACTTTTAGCATACCACCCGAAAAAATATTAGATATATATAAATCATCTAGTTCCGGCCTAAACATTATAAATGCTTCACAAACTAGAGATACCACACTTAATGATTTGCAACAAACTATTTCAGAAGTCAGACCAAGGAATTAGAAGTTACCAACAGAATCCAGAAAAGGGATGAGGAATCCGAGAAAGAAATATATGAATTATATGATATTTACAAAAACGAAATAATCTTTAAAGCATGATTATCCTACCCAGTCCCTACCCGCCACTGATCCATCTATATTGGGATGCTGGCCGTGTCCTGTTTTTGTTTCCGGAGATTCATCAAAAATTCTTCCGGTGAATTGGCCCGTTAAACGTAATGGGAGAAAAAAGATAACAATCTCGTTATTTTTAACACTGCGTGGATGTATGGCGGCTACAGCGTCCGGCGCGTCTCGAATACAAAAAAAAAACATAGAAAAACGTCATTTGTTCGCGACGTTTGACGCCGCTACTGGCAGTTGTTTTTTTCGACCGCTGGCCCCCCTGAGACGCATTAAAAAACAGACGCGTTCATTCTCTCACTTTTAAATAAAACTCTGGACTTCTGTCAGGTTTCATTTTTAGGAAAATTAATTTTATTTTTCGTTTTCTTTTTATTCTAAAATTATTAGAAGTTACACCCTGTATACATTAAAAACAAAAACATAAAAAAGCTATTTTCAGCTATAAAAACAAAAGTCTGAAGCTGTACAAACAAGGTCCGTGTGTTGTTGCGCTCCTGCTGGCTTAATGCAGGGGTGGACCCTAAAAAAATTATGTGAAGGATCATTTGGGACCCACCTGACATAATGGGTTTTTTAATGGAATATTGTTGAGTGCGCATGAAATGTTTCCTTATACTTTATATCATAATTTATCAGTTTCGCACACAACCAAAACATTTAAGTTTGCAGTTTACGAAAAAATGTTTAAAATAAAAATTAATATATATTTTTTATTGCAGACTCGGATCATTCGGCTAAAAATAGGTAGATTTTGTCTAAAACGTTTTTCCATATTTGGAATAGATGGCGCTGTAATGAAAAAAAAATCAATTTTGTTCGATTTTTCTTCTGTATACGATTCTCCAATAATTTTTGAATAAAATACTTGGTTTTATTTTTTTAATTTATTTATTTCTTAAATTTTAATTAAAGTAGGTGCTCAAAATGGTGGCCTTCGACTTCAATGCATTTAATAATTCGCATTTCGTTTTAATATTCTGCTAACACTGCTCTGGGATATTCCCAAATCTCTAGATAATTCTCGTGTGCTTGCATAAGGATTAGCGGCCGTTGCTGCTCATACATTAATTTCATTATTTCCACCTATGACTGTTGCTCGACGAACTCTTTTTTTCGGTTGAACACTCCCGTTTGTAGTAAACTGGTTGACTGTACGGTGAAATGAAGTACGTTATCGAATTTTTTTTGTTTGCAAATTAATCTTCGAAATAAATTGATTAAATAATGCAAAACTATAAATAGTTTCTTTATACCTCAATAATAATTATTATTTGTAACTAAATACCATTTTTTTATACCTAAATTAGGATTAAATTAATTAATTGACAAAATAATGTTTTTTTTACCTTAAATGAGGTATTTTTATTAAAAATAGAACAATATTTCTTTAAATTAAATGATTTAATGCTGGGAGGTAAAAAGTAAGCATGGTGCGCAATTGATAATTATCACCAAATGAAATAATGTATAAAACTTAAACCAAAGGAAACATAAATATTAGTTAAATAATCGTGGGTACTTAAAAAAAATCAGATTTAATTTAGTAAGATAATTATTATTAAGACCAAAAAAAGTGAGATTTTTATAGAAAAATTATTGCAGAATCGTATACATGTATACGATTATGCATAATAAAAATCGAACAAAATTGATTTTTTTTTCATTACAGCGCCATCTATTACAAATATGAAAAAATGTTTTAAACAAAATCTACCTATTTTTAGTTGAATGATCCGAATCTGCAATAAAAAATATGGTGTTCCATTGGAAATTTTAAAGTTACCCCCTGTTCCCCTTATAAGGAGGAGAGTATGAAGACCAATTTTAGTACTGATTGATTTCCTCCCTCAAATCATTTAATTTTTATTTTAAACATTTTTTTGTAAAATGCATACTAACCGAGATATTTCAAAGTTTCAAGTTAAATGACTCACCCTGTATATTATGATAACAAAATATAAAAATAGGAACAGAATATGTCATAAAATATCCATCAGAAAACCAAATAAACCGAAATGTACATTAAACGAACTAATGTTGAGATTATTAAAAACTTTTCCTATCAAAACTTTTACAAATGATTTATTATTTTTTTACCGCTATAATAAATTAAAAAGTAAAATGATTAATTTATCCAAACTAATTTAACTTCATTGGTGTGAAAATGACGTAGAATGAAATTTAGGCAAAACCATTTTTGTTTGTTAACAACTTTATACAGTGATTTTTTGCTTTAGATTTCACTTTCAAATTGTTTCACCCCTTCGTACAGTGCTCATAACCCCTAAAATTTTAATGATAGGGCAAGTTATTTCACAAAACACAGTTCCAACAATAACATGGCCATTTGATTTCAAATTACACAATTAAATTATGCAAAGTTTTATAAAAATTAAATTGGATTTGTGACTCCTACATATGTAATTAAATTGTTTGTCTTGTAAATACCGAAAACAATTGAAATCGATGGAAAAGCTGATTGAACTGTTGATATTTCGGATTTTTTTTTCATTAAATTGAGATGGTTTTGTTCGTTATACTAATCGAAACCAGAAAATTAATGTCATTTACATATCAATTGGATTTAAATTTTTACGTCCAGTTCCCCAAAAAGCAAATGACAATGCAAATACAATCAGATTAGATCGGGCAAATTAAAACAGATATTTACGATGATAGGTCGAAAGGTCCCTAAAATGGAATTTTTTTTTAATAAAAAAAACATAAAATATAACCGAAACTAAGAATAAAGAAAATTTTTACAAATTCCGTTCTTGATAAATTAAAAATGAATTATAGTATATTGTGTATCATGTTTGATAAACGCCATTTTAGTCTGTTTAGACTGTTTACTATCTCGCTGAAAGCAGTTTTTAAAGAATTTTTAGTAAAAATAAGAGAAGTATAATTTTCTTCAAATTAAATGACTTTTTGAGGCACTTCACTAATATACAAGAGGGCCCAGTATGGAACCCTGTGGTACTCCTCTTTTTAAGATCACTAAGTGTCATCAAAACATCTACAATAATGGGCGTTTTAAAGGTGGAAGTAGTAAAACATGCTTAAATCAAATAATAACAAAGTTGCTAAATCTCTTAGTTTTACATTTTCTGGTGTTAACATACACATTTGATTTTACAATCACATCTTCAAATATCTACCTGGAAAAGTGGAAATTTATTGCCGTCATCCAACATAGAAGCCATTTTCATTAATTTCCCACTTGATCCCAAAAGGTTTATCTAGAAAAATTTAATTCAAGTATGTGTGGTTTTTTGTGTTTGCTAAAATCCAAATTAATACGTAGTTTTAATTCAATTCAAAACATATGTCTGTATTTATTTTACCTTAACCATTTGAAATTGATTGAAACTTCTATTCTATTTGTGGCTGTACCTATTTTCACCCTTCCCTAAAATGCCTGTAAAAAATAATACCACATATTTTGATCCCAGGAATATGTCGTATCATTTTGTACAGGCACTCAGGGATACCTTGTATATTAAACTACGCAAACGATTTAATAAATCTAAAATTACTTCACGACCCCGTTCTGAGCTGACACATACATGCAAATTTTCATAAACTTGCTCGCATTTAATTTCTCTGTACCTATAGCTGGGGATGGCAAAAGGACGAGGGGAGGTTTTTATGTCTTCTAATTCTGTTATAACTTTGTTACAGTTGGACTATTGATTCGGCCACGTATATTGGAACCTGGTTCGTTTTTGTGATTAACGTTCGTTTTATGTTACCCCAGCTCCTAATAAATTTAACGCTTTTGACGTAAAATATCTATTATAATGAATTCGAATTCATAAATATGGATATTTACCTACGCATTGGCTCTCGATTATAAAATATTTCCACCTATGTTTTTGAACAAATAATTCAAATTAACACTAGGATCAACAATAATTATTATTAATAACTATTTCATACATTTTATACAGTGTGTTCGCTAGGTTCTTTATTATAAAGATATTGGTTTTATCG